ACTGAGTCAAGTGATCCTTGGCACATCATCCCACAAGCAAGACCCTGAGCTGCAAAACAAACACAAAAACACAAAAACAAAAACAGAAAACAAAGAAACATGCAAAAACAAAAGTGCAGAAATAAGCTTGGGTTGTCTCCCAAGAAGTGCTATTGTTAACGTCGTTTGCCCGACAATACCTCATATGCTCTCAAATAGCACAGACTGTAGTGGTGCACTAATTTTTAAGATATCCAGCTTTCTGTCAACAAATACCACCAGGTGTCGCAAATTCTTGAATTCTTGAAACCACGAAGGTAGCGTATGGTCTTCATAACCCTCGGCAGCACAGAAGTGAAGGATGAAACTTTCGTCCTCTTGTTCAAAATGTATCACAAACGCCTCCTTTCTTCGTTCGAATGTACCGTGAAAATTCTGATCACCTCCTCTTGACTCGCTATCACTCTCCATGAATGCATCCCAATTCATTTCGTCACTCTTCTTATTAATATCCTCCAAGCAGTATTGATCATTCTCAACACAAAAAGAAATATCATCAACGAGGAATGGATCAAAGAAATCCAAACCTTGACTAACGTACGAGGAGTAATCTTGCATGTGGAGCGGGAATCCTTCATCATGGGGATCATCTACCTTGCTACCACTCTCTTGGAGCTCGTGATTATCTTTTCCCAACTCTCCTTCAATGTCATGACTCATCTGCTCCATTCCCTCCTCATCAGGGGTTAAGACTAATGATAGATCAAATGGCTGGGGAGTTTCTATATGGAAATCATAGTGATCTGTGACTTCGTTAGTTACAGCTTGTATCGTTCGAAACTTTTTCCTGTATTCTTGAAAAAACAACTCGAGACAACTATAATTTTGATCAAGTTCAACAATAGCTGAGTCTTCAACATCATGAGGAAGTGTATCATCCATCATATTCCCACCATCATTGTCTGACTCGCTCATATGATCATCCCCATTGGTATCCTCGGATTGGGCTTCTATGTCGCTAGGATGGGATCTCTCGGACTCCTCAGATAGGGCATTAAACAGCTGATCCAAGTGATTTTCCATGTTCTGAAGACTCAACTGCATTGATTGATGATTCGCCTCAGTTGCTTGCATGAATTGCTTGAGTGTTTCTTCCAGGACAGACAACTTCTCTGAAATTATCTCTTCCAATTCATCCTGTGGCTCATAGCTCGGCAAAGACGTAGGAGTGACTGAAACATTTGTGTTCGTAAATTGTGGGGAGGAAGAAGTTGGGTATGCAGTTGCCCAATAAGGATGGTCATAAGGAGGTTTAACGGGGCAAAAAGATATATGGTGACACCCTCCACAGTACGAACAAAAGTTATTCTTAGGCAGACAAGGTTGCATGGTTGGAGGGTATGAATAAGGGCTTCGATAATTTTGTGGTGTAGGAGAGTGATTTTGATGAGGAGAATAATGAGGGGAATGACATTGAGAATGTTGCGTATTTGAAGGAGGGTAAGAATAGGAAGATGGAATATTTTTGTGGTGGAGGAGAGTAATAATGGTGACGAGTGTAATATTGAGGAGGAGTGTAAGGAGGATCTGGCGTATATGGTGAATATTCCATAGAGGTTTGAGAGTAAGGAATTCCTCCAGGAATCGAGGTGAATGGGTTCATCTCATGCCTTTTTGAAAATAACGTGAAAGGTTAGCACAGAAAAATCCTATGGAAAACAAAAAGAAAACTAACTAAAAAGAAAAATATCACAGAAATTAATTAATCCTTAAAACTGACACCGTCCCCGGTAACGACGCCAAAAACTGATGTTAGTTTTCTCGCACTTAAAATAGATTGTAGAATAGTGGTGTAAGTACGAGTATCGTCTCCACATGTACGGACAAAAAGGAATTAAGAATTAAATAAATTCAGCGATTAAAAATAAATAAAATAAATGCGCCGTGCGAGATTTGATTAATTGGGAAAATTAACTAATGCGAATGAACGATTAAAATAAAAGAAATTAAACTAATGGGTTCTTTCTAATTAATGACAGTAGGGAACAGGGATTGATTCCGGGGTAATCGAATTTTTGGCAGATCAAGCTTAATTACATGAAATTAATTTAATTGAGCCTAGCTAATCAATACTAAGTTCTTACCGCTCTCGCGGCGTAGAGTACAATAATTTAGGGGACCAGGCTGATCTCTCATGCGACAGGATCCTAAATTATTGCCAAAACGAGCGAGCTTACGGCCCCTTAATCGCTACTAATCTCTTAGCGAGTGATTAAGTGTGTGTGAATGTATCTCAGAATAAATTAGATCTCTCTTAATTTATTCTACAAGCAATTGTAAATCTAGCCGCGGTTCTAGGTTACAAAAGATAGCAAATAAATTGTTCAAACACAAAACGGCATTCATGCAATTAATCCATCAAGAAACTAGCCATACATCATGATTAACCCCTTCATCAATCTCAAATTCCTAATTAAAACTACTCACAACTCATAATTGAAGAATCAATAGAATTGGGAAGAATAAAATTAATTGTCATTAATTAAAAAGATGGAACTTACAAATAATCCAAGGGAATTGAAGAACAAGCTGGAATAGTAGAAGAAATCTCTCTAAGCTCCCCCCCTCAACACAGGGGTTTACAGGCTGTTTAAATAGTAAAAACGAAGCAATTCGAGCGAAATTAGGACTCCATGGGGCACGCACGGCGCCCACGCACGCGTGCGTGGCGTCCGTGCGTCCGACAGACTTGCGCGTAAAAAACGTCGGACGCACGCGTGCGTCCCCCCACACACACGCGTGCGTGGCTGCCAGTGAGTTTTCCGACTTGTCTAGTACTAATTTGACAAAACTTCCTTCATAAAAGTTGTAGATAATGCAGTCCTCTATCCACCGCAACTTGCCGAATTGGATTTGAATCATTCAATCAAGAGATATGAATAAAATGGTGGAAGGTCTCATTCTAAAATAGCAACAGGGATCATCTGACTTCATCGTGTGTTTTCACCTTCTTCCTCTCAGATTCGTGCAATGGTGTCTTCATATGATTTATATCCATTGAAGTTGGCTTTCATATGCAACTTGAATAGTGTACTTTGGATGCTTCTACAAAGAGATATATTTGAACGATTGACATAAGGACATTCTGAACGTCGTTTTCATGCTCTATTTGTCTTCTTTTGATCCCGTAGCCAATCGTAGAGCTCTTTTGTCATCAAATCTTCATTGGTGAACCTCCCGGTGACCTACAAAGCTATCAATTCACTCTCGATTGCTTCTCAAGTTGTCCCGATTTCTCTTCAAGCGCCGGTGTCGGACTCTAAATTCCTGATTTTGACTCCAAATAACACAAAACTCGAACCGACGCCTGGTACACATAACTTGAGCTAAAATTGAGATTTGTGACACCTAAAAGTTAGGGAAAACATCAAAAACCGATCCAGATATGCATCAAATGCGTGTTGTAATACGGACTTATCAGCACTTTTCGACAGAAAGATAGATTTCAATTACAGAGTTTAGTTCTCAGTACCATCGATTTAAGCTTTGGTTATAGTATAATGAGTTCAATTGTAATATTGTATTATATTTAATTAAATATTTAAGAGCAGAGCTTATCGGAAGACGTTATCAAGGTGCCACACTTAATTGGGTAATTTGAATTCAGCTTCTACATGTAAGTTCACTACCACCTGTACATGTTTGTTCAATCAAATGAAAGAAAGAAGTCATTCTACAGGTAGTTATGTTTGTTCAATTGATTTTTAGTAGATGGTTTTAGACTTTTTGCTATTATGTGAGCTTGGTGCATTATTTGATGAGTCATTTAATTTGTCATATTAAGTTACGTTTATTATCTGACGTAATCAAGATTATGTCAGTACTTTTATTTCAAGATTTTAATGATGTTTTTATCCAAACGTCACCGTAAAAAGAACTAATATTTACAGTGAAAGATTAAGTGATATGTACTCGGGAACAAGTTCCCACAGAGTTATCAGAGTTTCAGATAGTCCGATATGTTTAGTGGGTCACTCCCTTGAGCTGTCGGATTGGCACCTTTGAGTACATATCACGGGCCCACAATGTTAAAATTTACCACAAAGAGTTTTACAGAAAGTTTATGAGATCTCTTTCAGAAAGTTTTACATAAATGTTTTGAGAAAGTATTTTGAGATCTCTCATCAGTTATAAGAAATTATTTCAGAAAGTATTTCTTTTGAGATCTCTTTCAGAAGCTATTTGAGAATGTTATTTGTGAAGTATTTGTTAGGTGTATGCTTATAGTCTAAATTTATCTATTGATAAATTGGCATAGATTTCTAAATATTTTTGTGGATCCATAGTGACTTACTAAGCGTAAAGCTTATCAGTTTTCTTTCTTCACATGTACAGATATTAAAGGTAAGGCCAAGGCCTAGGAAGATGATGAGAGAGTGGAACGTGTGCCAAGATGAGTTAACGGGAACGACTTTGGTGGCTTCTATCTAGTTATTATTTTAATTCATAATTTCAATTGTTACTATAAAGAGATTATTATTACTTTATTTATTTGAGGATTTGAAGTTGAATAAATTCCTGGATCCAGGTGGTTATCACATGTGCTGGTGATAATTAGATTTTATTGAGTTTTATTTGGAGTTATATTTTAGTTATATTTGCGTTTTTTATCAGAGTTATTTCTTAAACAAACGGCCGTTATATTGCAGTTTTTTTAAGTAATAAATTTATGTAACGTTTCCTTTAACCCTGAGAGGGACGTTACAGAGTGAATTTGAAAATAATATAAAAATTGGTATATTCCTCTTAATAATGAGGTATTTCATAATATTAATTATTGTTAATTACTTCATCTTTCTCACTATGTTTATCAAGTTCTTACTTTCCCATATTTCACATAAATTGCCGCACAATGTTAGGTGGTATATGTATAGTAATATTTTTTTTAATCCGGAAGGCAAACCACCAAAATCAGTGGGACAATTACCTAGGAAAATATACCGGATTTTATTAAAATGAAAGAAGTACAAACGAGAGGGGGACCAGACCAAAATTTCTCAGAAGAGGCATACCTCTTCAAAAAAACAGAACAAACAAACATGAAACCAAAAATTGGGGGGGGGGGACTAGACCTGACCCAATTAAGTACATCACGTTGATAAAATTAAAATCTAAAAGATGGAATACCAAAGAAATCCATGAGATAGGCACGTCTAACAAAGGTAGGTAGTTGGGCTGGGTTGTCAAAATAAGTCAATTGTGATGTCCGATGGGCTGCTAGATAATGTGCAGCCCAATTTCCTTCCCTGTAGGTATGTTTGAAGACCAAGCCTTTCCTAATCTTCACAAGAGAAATTTCCTGAATCAGCTTCGTCCATTTCCTCGTTTCTTTACCTGAGAGATAATCCAACGCAAGTGAGCAGTCAGATTCCACTTGAAAAGCAACAAAACCCTCATCTACCGCCCATCGAAGAGCATAAAGAATGGCTTGAAGTTCAACTTCCACCGGCGATGAATGTTGTAGGGGGTAGGCAATGGCTCCCAACAAGTCGCCTCTGGAATCTCGCATGATTGCTCCGCCTGAAGCACTACCAGATAAGTACCGAGCGTCAATATTCAGTTTATTTGCAGATTTGGGCTTTCTCCACCGAATAATCTGAAATTTTGAACCAATAGTATAGTTCTTGGGAATCAGGCGTTCCTCATATAGGAGGATAGCACCTATGGATCGAATCTTTAATTTTGGAAAGCTAACCACCCAATTCTAAGTATAAGATTTTATCTGTAGAATAATATTATCAGGCGATGGAATATGACCACCCTCCCCCCATACCTGATTAGTATATAGCTGCCAGATATGCCCTTATTATCCCTGAAAGATTATGCTTAAAAAGATCAATCAAACTTCTACTACCTGCTTTTAACCACCAGTTTCTAAAAATCTGAGAAATAGGCCCCGGGGTAGATGGAATACTAAGGGCCCGTTTACTAACAGAGATATTTTCTTGTTTTCTACTTCTGTTTTTCGTTCTCTAATTTTCTGTTTTTATTTTTCAGTTTTTCTCTCCAGTTTTCTGTTTCTACTTTCTAGTTTTCCATTTTCAAATTTGAAAACATGTTCATCAATTTTTTCACCCAGTTCTGTGATCATCCAGAAAACTGACACGTTTATTTCACAGGTTACTAAATGGTGCTTATTAAGACTCGCGTTAATTAAGCAATGTTATAAGATCATGTTTATTTCAAAAGGTTTAAAACACCGTTTAACATTAAAATGTTCAACATAGCCCTATACATATATAGACACACAAAGATTCATGAACACAAATATATAATATAATATGTGGGGTCGATCACCACGTACGTGTACCCATACTCCTAACCCCTACCCTGCCCCAATACCTCGTACCCCCACCCTACGCCCTACATACATCATACACCCAATTCCACACCGTTGACCCCTACCCCTAACCCTTACCACGATCTTACACTCTACCCATACTCCCCTAAAAACATTCATACCCACCCATACCTACTCGTAGGGGTCGGGGTAGGGAAGGAAGGTATGGGTGGGGGTGGGGTGGTAAGGTCTAGGGGTACGGGGTTAGGTGGGGTAGTGGGTGGGTTAGGGTGGTGGTTAGGGGTAAGGGTGGGGTAGTGAGTAGGGTTGGGCTTGGGGTAAGGTAGGGGTATGGTAGGGAGTTGGGATAGGATGGCGGTAGGGTGGGGCCGAGGTAGGGGAAGGGGTAGGGTGGGGGGTAGGATGGCGGTACGAGGGTGGGGGTAGGATGGCGGTAGGGTGGGGCCGAGGTAGGGGCATGTGGGGAGGGGTAAGTAAGGGTAAGGGGTAATATACGAGGTGGGGTAGGGTAGGGTGGGTCGGGGTGGGGTTGAGGTGGTAGGGGGGTGGCGATAGGGTAGGGTGGATCGGGGTGGGACCGAGGTAGGGGCATGTGGTAGGGGTGGGGGTAGGGTCATTGTAGGGAAAAGGGGTATGCGGGGTGGGGGTTGGGTGGGTAGGGTAGGGTAGGGGTAAGGGGTAAGGTACGAGGATGGAGGTACTAGAATGGAATGGACATCGGAGCGGGCCTGGGCCCACCACTAGGTGTAAGTATGAAAATTAATTGCAGCGGCCTGTAGCATCTGCATTTTCCAAATTTGGAAAACTAGTAAAAGTCACTTCTCTAAATCATTAAGGAAAAGAGAGACATGTCTCATTTTTCATTTTGGAAAACGGTTTGGTAAACGCGTTTTTCTGTTTTCCTTTCTCGAGTTTTCCAGCAATTTTCTTTGGTAAACACGTTTGTTGTTTTCTGTTTTCTAGTTTTCCAGTTTTTTGGAAAACTAGAAAATATCTCTGTTAGTAAACAGGCCCTAAATATCTCCATGAAATAATTCCAGACTGGCCTCACAACAGAGCATTGATATAGAACATGATTATGAGAATCAATATTATTCTTACATAAAGGACATCTGGATGGATTCAGAACCATGTTAAACCTGCCAAGATTATCATGAAAAAGGTAGAATACCTTTTAAAACTTTCCATTGAAAGATTTTAATCTTCAACTCCCGTCTAGGGTGCCAGTTATGTTGAAAAGATAAAGTTGGAGTAAATTGTTCCCTTACTTCCTCATATGCTGATTTAAAAGTCAACTGACCATTCCCCTCTTCATTCTAGGTAATATGTCCATAAGAATTAACAGAGCAAAGTGATGAAGCATAGTCATCAATATGACAGATTCTTTTCCAAATAGCTGAATCTGAGACCTTAGGTATCATGTTCCCTTCTCTATGATATCTCGCTCTAATAAAGTCAGCCCAAATAGATTCACTTGTTTTCCATTTCCAGCAGAGCTTTAATGTAAAAGCCTTTTGAATATCAGATAAAGATCTTATCCTCAACCCTCCTTCACTGGTAGGAAAACATAATTTAGACCAACCTATCCAATGATGCTTCTTTTTAGAGTCTGAGGAACCCCAGAAGAAAGAAGTCATCTTGCTATTCAGCACTTTGATAACTTTCTTAGGCAGTGTGTCCACAACAAGAAAATGAAGTGGTATTGAATTAAGGACATGTTTAATAAGTATAAGCATGCCCCCTTGTGAAAGATTCCTTTGCTTCCAGGAAGTTAGCTTATTCTCAAATTGTTTGATTATATGGCCACAATACTGAAATCTGTTCACTCCTTTATGCAGATTAACTCCAAGATACCTCAGAGGAAGTGAGGACATTTTCATTCCCAGCAGGTTCTAGATTTGATTCCTTCTTAAAGCTGTAGTTTTTTCACAGAAAAATGAGCTCTTGTCAAGATTTTTTGACTGTCCTGAAACTTCCTGATAACAGTCTAGAAAATGTTTGAAGTTCAATAATGACTTGGAAGTCCCATTAAGAAAAACCAAGATATCATCCGCAAACCCTAAGTGAGAAAAAGAGTGACCAAATCTACCCATCCAGTATGGGGTAATTCTTCCTGCATTCATGAGCCAATTAAGACTCCTAGAAAATTCTTCTGATGCAATTATAAACAGGGGATAGGGGGTCACCCTGTTTGACCCCTCTAGTTGGCTTAAAGAAACCATACGTGCTAAAGAAACCATAGTAATATATGCCCTCTCATTCCTTTTTGTATTGAACTAGTATTTCAGAGAAAGAAGTAATCCAAAGCAATGAAGTAAAAACATTCCAGATATAGTTAATGTAAAGAAGCATTCTTGGAAACCATCCACAAGAAATTATTGACAAATTAGACCGAATCTGATCCGTTCCGAGCCAAAATGACCGGATTGTCCTCAATGCTGGTGTACAAAGGAGGCCAGCAATGCAACCCATGAAAACAGAAGTTATTAACTTCCCAAAACCACCCAATGACCCACAACTGAAATCAAGAATCCATTTTGGGACAACCCGAGATACTACGATTAGTCCTAAGACAAACCCTAAACTCCGAACCAGAAAACTCAATTTCTTCTCTATACCCTTAGAAGCTGACCTCTCAAAAGCAGTCCTAGCTAATGAGATAAACATCCTACATAACGCAAAACATCCTAATAAAATAGGAACAATAGATCCATTCCCGAACAACCCGGCATCTTCGGATTTCTCCAAGAACAGGTCAAGCAAGAAGCAAGAAAGAGCTAAGACAGTGTAACTGAAAGCACTTTTGAACTCACTTAAATAAACTCTCGTTTGGAGGTGAGAGCCGATGAGCTTTAGCCTAAAGATCTGAGCTTTATTTTCATCGAATTCAAATTTATCCTTGGAGGGCTTTTTTCTAGGGCTGAGTTCAGAATCAACACTACATGGGCGTCGAATCGCAGCCCTGACACCATTTAATGGAGTAGGGTTGACATCGTCTGGGTGGATGTTGGTGCAGGAATTTAACAACATGGAAAGCTTGACCGGGGCAATTAATGACGTATTTATTAGAATTAATGCTAGATGATTAGTTCTAGCGGTTTCATGTATATTATGAGAGTTATTGTTGTAATTATGGCGTAGGTTACTCAAATGGCTGACCAGAATTTATGACGATGTAATGACGATTTTGATGTCGTCGTAACTGTCGAAACCGTCTACAACGGAAAAAAAGGCATTAAATATCTCTCTTATAAATAGACCCAAGCTCTATGTAATCAGGGAACCTTCATTCGAATTACACATCAATATACCTTATATTTTGCTTACTTGACACCCTTCTTGTTGTTCTTGTCATTTTCCTTACCGTTCTTGTACTAAACCCAATCAATATATAATTTCTAATCTAATTAGTTTTAGTTTATCAAAATTTTGCTAAAACAAGTTGGCGCCGTCTGAGGGAAATCGTGCAAGAAATTTATTCTCCATGGAAGGAACGAGCAACGAAATGATGACCGAATTTCACAAACAACTTGAAACCATTAGGGAAGAAATCCGGCAAGAAATGGCTCAACGGATTGGTTTTCTCCAGCGGGAAAATGATGTATTGCACTCCCAAGTGCAAATGGTGGCGTCCATAGCTTCCAACTCAAGATTAACTCAAAGAGGTGATGCCATGACAGCGACAACAATGTTGGATTTGGATTCTATCCCGATCTCAACCGAGCCACTCACTAGTGTGATGACAGATCCCTTATCTCTCACGTTGGGGTTGTCACAAACCAGAGATCGTCAATCGGAGCTGTCACTTACCGGCAATCCTCACGCCACCATCATCTCGCAAGTCATTCCATATGCTCCGCTCATGCCAGAAACAACTCCGCCCCCAAACATCATGGCCTGCTATTTTCCAGATTCCCTTCGGATTAGGTCATCGTCATCGGGTGTGCAATCTCTCACACAAAGGATGTCCACATCAAACGCTGGTTCAATCCCGACCAAACCCTTCGTCCCTTATGCGGCCACCGGCGTGCCCGGAGAACCAGGATCATCCATGCACCCTGGCTCTCGTTCCAATCCCAGACGAGGCACGACCCACAAATCTATAGTGGAGCCTCACAGAAGAAGAGTCCCGGTTCGTGTCGACATTCCCAGGCATGTCGACTTCACCAGAGATGTTGACTTCAACAGCCAGAGTCGACGAGGTACAGAATTCATTGACATATCATCCCCCATCAGGTAGGAGGTGGTCCGGGCATCGGTGTAACACCCCGGCCCCGTAGGCCCCGAGGTAGTTACTTGTGACCTCTAGTACTGTCCTCACAAACCGTCACTAGCCTTTTCCACGCACTTTGTCCTCACTCGTGCGCGCCCTGAGAAACTTCCCAAGGGGTCACCCATCCCAAGACTACTCCCGTGCAAGCACGCTTAACTTTGGAGTTCTTGGCTAATGAGCTCCCTTAAAAGGAGATGCACCTTATTGGTATGAGTAGTACTATTAATCCTCTTAAATTAATCTCGGGTATTACAATCACCCCCACTTAGGATCGCAACGTCCTCGTTGCGCCCTTAACACTCTAAATCAAACCCCAGAATCTTGCCCCGCTAAGTGCCTGCCCGATATCTAACGGGTCAACACACTGTCGCAGGGTTGCTCTGATACCATTTGTAACACCCCGGCCCCGTAGGCCCCGAGGTAGTTACTTGTGACCTCTAGTACTGTCCTCACAAACCGCCACTA